CAGCTTCTGTTTACAGATCTCTGTGAGTTCAAGGTCACCCTGGGCTACACAGGAACAATTCTGAAACAAATCCAGGAGGTGGTGTCTCACACCAGAGGGGATATAAAACGGGAGGAGAGAGAGGCTTGGTCTGCTGAGTCTCCTTAGTTTGTGATCGCCCAGCCTTAGTAGAGGTAAAACTTCTCTAGTGACTGGCTGCCTTGCTTTTCTGGTTTTCAGGTTGAAACCCAATTTCTGTCTCTGGGATTTTACTATTCGTGCTACAATTGGTGCCCATGCTCTACCCACTGAGCAGCCGGGCTTTCTCAGTCCATTCCTGATTGGACCATTTCATATCTCATTTGCATGAACACACACCTCGCCAATCAAGAAGGGCACACAACATCTTCCCCAGTCCTGTTCCATGCTGGAATCCTGCTCCTTCAGTCAGCGGCTCCTAGGACTCCCCTTTCCCTGGGCAGACCCACTGGAAACCCACCTAAGGCAGAACTCCCCAGCATGCACTGCCCCTGCTCCTTCCCTGCAGGAAATTTGTTCTTGCTTTGAGAGCTTTTTGTCTCAGCCTTGGAGATCAGCTGCTTTCTCTGAAAGTGAGAGAACTCACTCACTCCAGGGAACTCAGGCCCTTGGGCCCTGCTGAAGAGGAGAAACCTGCTGCTCTCTGACTCTCACCATCAGCTGTGTGCTTCCTGCAGACGGCTCTGCCAGGGCACAGTGCTCTAGGTCAGCATTCCGAGGTCCTCCAACCCCTCAGACGGCTTCTTGAAGCCAGAAGAGAGCAGAAGCGAACACAAGGAACATCTTTTGGTTGACATCCCACTGCCATCGAGGGTCTCAGAGTTTCTACATCGTTGTTCAAGTTGTTTCTTAGTTAAGTCGTTACTCCTTTGTGGCAAGTAAAAAAAAATCTCTCTCTGTGTGTGTGTGTGTGTGTGTGTGTGTGTTTAAACAGAGTCTCACTGTGTATCTCTAAGCTGACCTAGAACTCGCTATATAGACCAAGCTCTTCTGGAACTCACAGAAGTCTCCCTACCTCTGCCTCCGAGAAGCTGGGATTGCAGGCGCGTGTCACCACTTCGGGCTGGAAGGTCCCCTTGTTTTTCTGCTACTGTCAAGCCCACTCCATTCTTGAAGGGAAAATGGGACAAGAACCAGAATAGGAGAGCTGACTGTCACCATGGAGTGCACAAGGACCCAGCTTCCAACTGACGGCTTCAGTAGCGAGGGCTGGAGTCTTGGAACAGCAAGACAGTTAACTACTGATTGCTAATAATGAGTCTAATAATGATAATAATTAGCTAAGTATTTCAGGTAGGTGTTGGAGTATAACACACAGTACAGAATGCATACCCACAAGTCGATGCCAATGTAAGTGACTAAATGACTCTCCAGGGACAGCAGACTGATCTTCCAGACAGTCTTCCAACCTAGGAAGATACTATGCTACCAGGAAAGGAAGTGTATACGATACAGTATAGGAAGAGAAGGCTTTCTTGGCTGGGGAGGGTCTTGGCAAGCCCTGCCTCAGTCAGGTGATGTAAAGCCTGAGTAGTCTGAGACCTTGGGAAGGTGATGTCGGTGTCCCCACAAAAGCTCAGTCTGCTTCCAGTCTACAGGAGAGGAACCAAGTAAATTCCATTCCCGGATAACAACTCCTAAGCCTGACCACACTCATCATTGTCAAGGTCACCACATAAGGATGGTCTGAGAAACTGCCACAGACAGTGGGAGCCTCCACTAACTGCCACGGGAGAGGGATGGACTGTAGGACAGAGAAAATATCAGTGGGTAAGAACTGCTCGGGTGGGGGCTTCAGCTCACTGCCTGTGGGCACAGGGCCAACTCCACAACTCCAGGACTTCACTGAGGCTAGAGCCAACGGCATGAGCGTGGAATTGCCAACCAAGGAGCATAACTGTAGCATCAGCCTTTGGGGGCAGGACAGAGAACCCTGGGAAGTCACTGCACAGACACAAGAAAGGCCAAGAAAAAAAAGAAAAGATCAGGGGTGTGGTGGGCCACCAATTATCCCAACATTGTCTCAAGTTCCTTATGCACCTGGATAATATCGCATTAAACAAACTCAAAAGGAAAAGGGTGGAAGGGAGTGAAAGAGGGAGAGAGAGGAGGGGGAGAAAGAAAAAGAGAAGGAGTAGATCAATGGTGTCTTAGGGCTTTTGCTGCTGCGATAAACACCGAGATCTAACATAACTTCGGGAGGAAAGCATTCATTTGGATTACATTTCCATGTTACATTTATCATCAAAAGACATCAAGGCAGGAGCCAAAGCAGAAACCAGTAAGGGACATTGCTCACTAGCTTGATTCCTGTGGCTTGCTCAGTATGCTTTCTTATAAAACTCAGGGCCACCTGCCCAGGGGATGGTACTGCCCACAGTGGGCTAAACCTTCCTACATCAAGCACTAACTGACAAAATGCATCACGGACTCGCAGGCAATCTGATGGAGGCCTTCCCTCAACTGAGGCTCCTTTCCAGGTGAGTGTTCCTAGCTTGTGGAATCAAGCTGACAAAACAAACAGACAAACAAATGGAAACACACACAGGGGAGAAGAGAGAGAGAGAGAGAAACACACATAGGATAGAAGAGAGAGGGGGAGAGGGAGAAAGGACACACACACACACACACACACACAAAGAGAGAGGGAGACAGAAAGAGAGAGACAGAGAGACAGAGAGAGAGATCAAGGAAGCAAACAAGAAAAGACAGATAAGTGCCCGTGCTCAATCTCCAGTACTTCGAAAGAAAAGGATAAGAGAAAGAAAAAGGAAAAAAGGGGTTGGGGTTTGCGGTGCTTACGTAGCATACCAGAAGCCCTGGATAGCCAGCACTGCACAAATAGATGTCTTAGTCAGTGTCCTATCACTGTGAAGACACCATGAACAAGGGAACTCTTATAAAAGAAAGCATGTAATTGGGGCTGGCTTACAGTTTCAGGGTAAGTCCATTATCATCATGGTGGGAAGCATGGCAGCAGGCATGGTGCTGGAGAAGTAGTTGAGAGCTCCACCCTGACCTGCAGAGAGAAGAGAGAGAGAATACTGGGCTTGTCATAGGCTTTTAAAATCTTAAAGTCCACCCTCCACACTTACAAATGTCTTCCAGCAAGGCCACACTACTCCTCTAATCCTATCAAAGATTTTCACTCCCTGATGACTAAACATTCAAATATATGAGCCTGTGGGAGCATCCTATTCAAACTACCACACCTGGCATGGTGATACACATGTGTAATCCCAGCAGGGGAGGTGGGGGCAGACGGTCAGAAGTTTGAGGGTGTCTTCCACTACTTATTCAAGGCCAGTTTGGGCTACATGACACCCTGGGGATGGGACTAAGGGAAGCAATGAAGCAGCAAGACAGTAGAAAGTGCAAGCGCCCACTTTTCAAAATTCCCATCGTGATGAAAAGCAACCGAGGCATTGCCTGAGCTGGAAGGCTAGTAGGGCTGCTGAGCGCGGAACTGTCGGAAAACAGATGAAGGAGATCCTGTCTCAAGGATGGAGGTTACCCGCATGGGTTTACCAAACCCACTGAACTGTGTGCTTAAAACAGGTATATTTTATGTTGAAAATTGTTGTAAAAAGTCAGCAACAAAACAAAAGGAGAAAAGTCTAGCTGGAGGTTGCATGGTGATGCATGGTAATCCTGGCTACGGAGGCTGAAGCGGGGATGTCCGGCCAGATCCCATCTCAACACATTCAAACATTTTAAAGGGTTGAGAACAGAGCTTGATGGGACAGCTCTTCCAATCAGCCTCTGATCATCAGCACCATTAAAATAAAGTGGAAAAGCTAATTGAACTGTATCACTTAAGCACTCATTTGAGAAGCATTTTGATGCAGGCTTGGGCTCCTGAACTGTTCTTTGCACTCTGTTCCTCTAACCCCAGCGCCTTTTAATTTTGCCTCTTACTATTATGTGGGTGCTGAGGACTAATCGGGGGCTCCTGTACCCCGCAGCCCTATTGTTCCTCCTTTTCGCAGTCTGCACCGCACAGTGAGTCTCAACAGGCCTCCAACCCCATCTCAGTTCCAGAGGCTGTTCACAACCCATGAGCCAAAGCCCAGATGGGGTTACCACATCTCTGCCTTTCCCCCAACAGGTGGGCATTTGGGGAGTGGTTCTCTCTAGCCACTATGTGGAACCCAGGGTTGAACCCAGGACATCAGGCTTGGCAACAAACGCCTTTATCCACTAAGCCATCTTGCTGCTCCCTCCTGCTGTCTGGATCCTCTCTGCCTCCAACCTGTAGGCTACTCTTCTTCCTGCCAGAAGGCAGTCTGTACATCACCAGCCTCGGTCAGCCTATGCTCCCCTCATCTGTCACTACCTACTGGCCTTCCAAAACTACAGGTTCCACTCAGAGTGTCAGCAGCTCCCCAAGTGAACTCAACCTTAAGTGCAATCAGGAGGCCTGGCTTTCAAATGTCCCAGTCTATCAACTCCACTCTGTGTCCTACACTGTTCCACAGTCCCTAAGACCCTGGGAGCAGGGCCAGATGCACCGTTTCCTTGCCCCGAATGCCCACCCCTCAGCCTGGCACCAGTTTCCTATCGTGGAGCCAGTTTCCGCCAGGCCCTGGCATGAGTCAGGATCCTTCTTCTCTCTCCCCTTTCTTCCTTTTCTCACTTTAGCCTGGCACACCTGGCAAACCCTTCCTCTTTCAGCCTACACATCCCTCCTTGGGTCACTCCCAGCTGATTGGGTCCACCCTGTAACCCCTGGCACCCCCTTGCCTGTACTTAACTTACTTAAGTTTAAGAGGATGATTTGATTAACCCACCCACCCAGCATTTACCTCTATGAATGATTTCATCTGGAAGGGCCTGATTGATGGACTGAAGAGGGACCCAATGAGCCCGGAGAATCAAGCCTAGCCCCACCCAGAAGGCTTTGCCTGCTCCTGGTACCCTATAAGAGCAGATGATCTTCAAGCAGAAAGCCTGAGACCTCTGAGGACAGAGGTAACCTTGACCTCAGTCTCTGACACATCCAGCCAACACTGCCTTTTCCAGAAGGGTCGCCAAGACTTCCAGGCAATTCAGTTTCTCAGACTCAGTGCCAGCTCAAGGATCTCACAGCAGCAGGCCAGGTGTGCATCTCAGGCAGGGAAGGGTTTACCCTACATCGGATGAGGATAGAATCCGGGTGCAGAACTCTGCTCCCCAGCTTGTCCCAGCCCTATTTCCCCCTCTCCCCTCCCAGGAGATGGCCTCCCTCCTCCTGGCTAATGTTACTGTCACTTCGCTACAAGTCAACCATCATCTCTAAAATCCCGGGAGATGGTTTAGGGATCAAAGACCACCGGGTGTACATGCCTTCTGCAGTACGCTGAGCCCAGGGCTGGCAGCTCTGTCACACCTGGTGGCAGTGTTCTCCCCAGGGACTGACTGTGTGCCTTCATCTCCTTGACCGTGTCTCTCCCACTCCTCATGCAGAATCTGGAGGCGATTTCATGGAGAAAGACCAACCTCCGAGACGGCATCACTGTGAGACATCCGACCAAGGTATTGTTGACACCCATCACTACTTTGAACTATTGTCCCAGGTTTTACTCGTCTTTGGGTGTTTTACAACTTAGACATCCATATGGGGTTTACTGTGAAACACAGCATCTCCCCTTCTCAGTTTCCCACACCCCAGAGTCAAGCATGGTTTAAAAAAAATTGGGGGTGGGCTTCTGCATGTACCACACAGCATGTGTAGAAGTCAGAGGACAGCCTGAGGCTGCTGGCTCTTTCCTTCCGCCATGGGGATGCCAGGATCATGCTCTTGTTATCAGGCTCGGTGAAAAGTAACTTCATCTGCGGAGCCCTCACACCTGTGCTGCGTGAAGGGCTTCTTCTGAGGTCTGTTTCCACTCACTTTGGAGACTAGGCCTCACTCTAGCCAAAGCTAGTTTGGAGTTTGAACTTGGGGTTGTAGTCCTGCCTCCATCTCCCCAATGCTGGGGTTAGGGTGTGTGTTACCATTACTATCTTACTATCGAGGTTGCAGCTAGGATCTCTGTATGCCAAGAAAGCCCTCTACAGTTGAGCCACACCCCCCGGTCTGCAGTCCTATTCATTAAGTAATTTCATCGTAGACTTTGGTCATCGACTCTCTGGAGACTAATACATAGCTCCATATCACAGTTACATCGTCATTACCCTGCCCACCCACGCCTGCCCCACCCCAGCTCTAGAGCCCTGTGGGGTAGCAGAGTCCCTTTCCCCTCTTGTAGAGCTTGTGTTCTTTGGTGCTTACTGGGTCATTACAAGCTTATCTGCATCCATCCTCAACACTTTCCCTGGAGGTTTGAATTAAAGCACAGCCGAGCCCTGCAGCTTTCCAATGGTACCTCTTCAAAGCTGGCTCCAAACTGGACGAGCCGAGCTATACCAGCTTCCCAGGTGCACTCTGGGGTCGCCTTCACCACACCTTTGCCCCCCACTTTCTCCTTTGGGATGTTAACATATTCCTTTCCCATATCATTTTTATTTTATTTTATTTTTTTAGTATTTTTTCTGTCCACCAGTCTTTTATTAAAAAAAATGTTTTAAAAGGAATTTATTTAGCCAGGTTTGGTAGCATATGCCTGTAATCCCAGCACAGGGAAGGTGGAGCCAGGAGAAGGGCTGAAAGTTCAAGGCTGGTGAAGATGGCCTACATGGTGAAACGTGGGCTTAAGAAAATGTGAGTGAGGTTATTTCACAACCTGTACATCTGAAAATGCTTTTACTGTACTGGCCTCGATTTCTGGGGCTAGTTTGGCTAGGTATTGAATTTAGGTTGGAAATTAATTTCCTTCAAAATGTTGGAGATGTTTTCTGTTATCTTCCAAATTCTAATGTTGCTTCTGAGATTTTGTTCTAGCCCCGCCCCTTTTAGAATATGATCAATGCCCTGAAATTTTGTGTTATTATACCTTGGTGATAATATGCCTCTGATATTCATATTCTTTATTTCCTCTCTTTTGTTATTTTGGGGTTTTGCTTTTTCTGGGGAGATTTCCTCAATGTCTTCCAAGATTTCCATGGAGATTTTAATTTCTGCTTTCCTAATTTTAATTTCAAAAAAGCTTTTTTTTCCCCCTGGACGTTCTTTGCAAAAGTATCCTGTAATTGATTCACAGGTATAATTTATTCTCCTGTGTCTGAAGGTATTAATTATAGATTGGGGGAGGTTTCATCTATGGCATCTTTTCCTGTTTGGTTGACTTGCTTCTGATCTCATGCCTGGTTGTGTCTCTCTGTGCTGGTCCCCAGTTGCTGCTCAGACTGAGCCCTCGGGTAGGGTTTGCTCTCTGTGGGGTACCCTGAATTTAAGTGGTTGGGTTACCAAGTGGGGAGCCCCAGATGTGATCGTTGAAGAACTTTGAGTCTCATTTTCAGAGGGAAAAGTCTTCAGATGGTCTTTAGTGTCATGTCTACTGGGGACAAAAATCTCCTCAGATAATGTCTGGTTCTTGACTTCCTATCCCATTCCTGTAGCCAGTCTTTTGTCTACACAAAGACTTTAGGAAAATTTAAGGTTTTCTATTTTTTTCCTTTTTGAGGAGTTGATAGAGCAGGATGTCACTAAGTAGCAGTGGCAGGAGGGCCTTGAAACCCACAGATCTGCCTGCCTCTGCTTCCCCAGTTTCTGTAATAAAAAGTGTGCACCACCATGCCAGATCCCTATGTAGATTTATGTGTGTGTGTGTGAGAGAGAGAGACAGAGAGAGAGAGACAGAGAGAGAGACACACAGAGGGAGAGACACACAGAGGGAGAGACACACAGAGGGAGAGACACACAGAGGGAGAGACACACAGAGGGAGACACAGAGAGAGAGACACACAGAGAGACAGACAGAGAGACACAGAGACAAGAGAGACAGGAGACAGAGAGAGACAGACAGACACAGACAGAGTGACGACAGACAAACAGACAGAGAGACAGAGAGAGACAGACAGAGAGATAGACACACAGAGAGAGACAGACAGACAGAGACAGACAGACAGACAGACAGAAACTGGGGGAGAGAGAGACAGACGACAGAGAGAGAATACTAGAGATGGAAACAGGAACCTTGCACTTACTACACAAGTGCTCTACTACTGAGCTATGACTTCAGCCCATTTTTATTTATTTATTTTAGCTACATTTCCTGTTGAAGTTACCCAGGGTGACCTTGAATTTACTTTGTAGTCTAGGCAGGCCTTAGACTTGCGATCCTCCTGCCTCAACCTCCTGAGTCACAAGCCAACAACCCTAGTCTTTATCAGTGTAACTGCCTCTGCTCTGGTAGACCAAGAACTTACACCTGGGTGGTTTTCTAGAGAGAATTTAACACCTGACGGTTTCTACTGAAGTCTCCTAAACTGCTTCTTCGTACACTGGCCTTTGTTTTTTCAGTCTTTTCAGTCAGTTTGTCTTTTCTGCAGCCTGAGATTATTTCACTTGCCTACTCAGCATCTCAGACGCAAACGTTTGTTTTTCTCCTGTTGTGAACTGAATTGCTGGTGGTTTCTTTTCTTTAAACATTTATTTTTTTGGGGCCGGAGAGATGGCTCAGTGGTTAAGAGCATTGCCTGCTCTTCCAAAGGTCCTGAGTTCAATTCCCGGCAACCACATGGTGGCTCACAACCATCTGTAATGAGGTCTGGTGCCCTCTTCTGGCCTGCAGACATACACACAGACAGAATATTGTATACATAACAAATAAATAATATTTAAAAAAAACATTTATTTTTATTTTTTAATCATGTGTATGTGTCTGTGTGAGTGTACGACATGGATAGAGGTGCCCCTGGATGTAGAATGTTTATGAGCCACAGACGAGGGGGCTAGGAGTCAAATTCAGGTGCCCTGGGAGAATGAACTGCTAAGCCCTCTCTCCAGCCCCCTGTCTCTGAGTGCTCTTGGTTGCACATCTTCACAGTGAGCTTTAAGTGCTCTTTTGAGTTTCTGGGGTTCATCAGCTCAGACATCAGTCTCCCCACTCCAACTCCAGGGGTTACACTAAGCCAATAAAGGGGAAGATGGCTCACACAGTATCATGAAATTGGAAGGGGTGCTCCCATCCCTGGTGTCTTCACCCACCACTCTGGTGTCTGGGCATTGTGCCCTGCAGGTCACCAACTCCCCAGACCTCCATCTCCGCCACAACTGTGGTCCCCAGGCTAATTCTGTGTCTGAAATGAGCTGAGACTGGCTTTGAAAAGGTGATGCAGGAGACACTGGAAGGTCATGGGTCAAAAGGGTTTTCACCTGTGATGTCCACTGTGCGTCCCCAGACAGCTCTTGAAGCCCTCAGGGTGTGTGTTCCGTGTCCCCTTCCCATTTCCCTTGTCCCTGACTAGAAGTGGGGTCAGCGAGACTGTCAATAGGACTGTTAACAAGCTACAAAGCACAAGGCCTTCCCAGCGAGCTCTTGCCATGTCCCTCCCTCCCTGTGGACGCTCTGCAGACAGACCCCAGATAATTCACAAAGGTCTGAAGTTCCTTTTTCTAACCACAAAGTGGGGAAGACTTCACTCGTGAGGTGAACTGCTCTTTGGCTGTCTTTAATGTCTGTGGCCTGTCCATAGCAGCACCTGGGCATGAGTTCTGTGGTAGTGGTTGCTTCTGACGGGCATGTGTGTCCTGCTCCCTCTAGCACGACTGGGCCAGCCTCATGGGAATCCCAGCGCAGTCCTTCTCCAGCTGCTCTCTCTGTGTCTCCTCCTCTCTCACACCTCCCACCCCACTCTGCCCTGAACCCCTCTGTAATTCTCAGGGAGAGCCTTTCCACAGCCGACCCAGGGGACTTTACCTGTTCAGCTCGCGTTGCTGCTCAGGACTCCATAGGTACTTCCTGTTAGGAGGGCATTGCTTCCCAATAGGCGGGGACTGCTTTCCATTTGGTGGGCACTACTCTCAGGCTCTGGACACTCTTCATTGTGGGTCACACATGTCCACCTAAGCTCTCCCTCTCTGCTCGGTCTGGAAAGAGCCTTTGCTCTGGTTTCCCCATAGGATGGTAACATGCACCTTTGGCTCCTCTTAGAGGCTACCCTTGTATCTCCTTCCAGCCATGGGGATCATGGACTACAGCAGGGTGGATGACCCCCCTCCCCAAGAAACAGGCCTTCATGGAGCTCCAGGTTGCAGAGTTATCGGATGTCCTTATATCTCAGTTACAAACCCAATATTGAACAAATATTCTCACCTTAGCTCTACCCTGGAGACTGGGATCCTCAATCCTGCCTCTCCCCAGTGCCTGCAGTCCACTTTGAACTGCCCTTGGTGGTAACAGGGTGCCTCCGCCATCTCTGTTCCCAATACCTTTCCTTGAACTTGCCTTCTGGCACTGCCCTGTCTCCTGCGTGCCTGCTTCCCTCTGACCTCCTTTCTGAAGCCCACCTAAGGATGCTGCTCCTCCATCAGCATCTTCAATGTCTCCCTCTAATCTCCCGATAGCAAAACTTACTTTTCTTAAGGCTGCCTCTTTAAGAATTGCCACTTCCCTGATGAGCGACTGTCTTAGAGTATCTATTGCTGTGAAGAGACACCATGACCACAGCAACTCTTATAAAGAAGAACATTCAATTGGGGCTGGCTTACAGGTTCAGAGGTTCAATTCATTGCTACCATGGCGAGAAGCAAGGTGGCACACAGAAACGCAGGAGAAGGAGCCCGGAGTTCTACATCTGAATTGGTAGGCAGCAGGAAGAGAGAGTGAGCCACTGGGCCTAGCTTGAGCTTCTGAAACCTGCCTATCTGGTGACATACTTTCTCCAATAATGCCACACCTACTCCAGGGCCACACGTCCTAATCCTTACAAATAATGTGACTCCTTATGTACCTATGGGAGCCATTTTATTCATATGACCACAGTAACCCTACTGCCTTTCCCAGCTCTTTGCATTCTGGAGAGCCCTTAGCCTCTCCCAGGGGAGTTGAGGGCAACCACTCAACTGTCTTTTTGTTTTGTTTTGTTTTGTTTTTGACTTCTAGGCCTGTGCCTATTCAATCCTCTTACCATGGTAATATAGCTCATGTTACCTTCTTCCAGCCATCCTGGTGTATAGTTGAGGAGGCTTTTCTGACCTAGCACCAGTCTAGACACCTTGCCTGTAGTAACAATAATCAAGGGTTCTTAAAACAAGGAAATGGGTCCAGAGGCATGAACTAAATCCTGAGCCTTCCAAGTTCAGAGGAGTTACTCTATGATGTGCTGATCTGCCACGTCCCACTGAGCAACAGCCTCAGTGGTGTGTGTGTGTGTGTGTGTGTGTGTGTGTGTGTGTGTGTGTGTGCGTGCTTTTGAGTGTGTACATGAAGATTCCTCCTTCTGAAGTTTAAACTTATAGGGAAGAGACACCTTGTCAAGCTCAGTTTCCCTATTGGATTTCATTCTCAGTTTATCTACCAATAAAATGGAGCTGTTATGTCCTAACCACAGGTTGTCAGGGGAGCCTGGACAAGACCTGCTCTCACTGTCTGTTTCTCTCCAGACTCAGATGAGCGACCCAGAGAGCAAAGCCGTCCTGGTGAGGAGTCCAAAGACTCTGTGGAAGAAGATGCACCTAAATGGCCAAGCCAACCTGCCAAACCCACTGCTTATGTGAAACCCATGAAGCGTGAGACCTCTGAACTTGCAGAACATCATGCTAGGAGAAGCGACCAAGCTGCAGAACATCATGCTAGGAGAAGCGACCAAGCTGCAGAACATCATGCTAGGAGAAGCGACCAAGCTGCAGAAGGTCATGCAAGGAGAAACGACCAAGCTGCAGAAGGTCATGCAAGGAGAAACGACCAAGCTGCAGAACATCATGCAAGGAGAAATGACCAAGCTGCAGAACATCATGCTAGGAGAAATGACCAAGTTGCAGAAGGTCATGCTAGGAGAAGCAACCAAGCTGCAGAACATCATGCAAGGAGAAGCGACCAAGCTGCAGAAGGTCATGGTAGGAGAAGCGACCAAGCTGCAGAACATCATGCAAGGAGAAATGACCAAGCTGCAGAAGGTCATGGTAGGAGAAGCGACCAAGCTGCAGAACATCATGCTTGGAGAAATGACCAAGCTGTAGAACGTCATGCAAGGAGAAATGACAAAGCTGTAGAACGTCATGCTAGGAGAAATGACCAAGCTGCAGAACATCATGCTAGGAGAAGCAACCACGCTGCAGAACGTTATGCTAGGAGAAGCAACCAAGCTGCAGAACGTTATGCTTGGAGAAATTACCAAGCTGCAGAACGTCATGCTTGGAGAAATGACCAAGCTGTAGAACGTTATGCTAGGAGAAATTACCAAGTGCAAAGAGCTTACTCAGAGAGACAGAGACAGAGGACAGAAAGATATGAACCCTTGCAGGCTGCCTTCCAGGGGTGGCTGGAAACATACTTGTATGGCTACAGAGGACCATACATGTACACCCAGAATGAGCTGCGCTTGTACACTCCTTTCATTCTAATACGTCCAGTGTTTGTGCAGATGGTCCAGCAGCCACCCATGGTTTACAGGTACTGGGCTGGAATGGAGTACTGGACCGCTGTCTCCTACCCCTGCCGGGTCTTCATTCCCCTGGCCAGGCCGGGCTTGTACTTTGTGCAGCCCTCTTTTATGATCTATGTGTTCAGGACCCCCAGGTCCCTCACCTACAATGCTCAGTGACCGGTGTCACCCAGTGTCAGTCTTCCCCACAGAATAGTTCACAGAAGACAAGGTTTAGGGTTACAGCTCATCACCGCGTAACGTCAGGGCACCAGGCACTCGAAACAACTGGTCACATCCTACCTGAAATCAGAAGCGTGAATGCATTCTAGGCTCCCAGATTCAGTCAAATTGACAGGTAACACTAACCATAGGACTTCTCTTCCCACCTGGGATTTAATTTACACACGCACACACACACACACACACACACACACACACACACCTTGATCACACTCTTCCTAGACCCCCTTAACACTTCCCCTTGCCAATTCCCCCTCTCTATTTAAAAAAAAAAAAAAATCTGCTGTGCAGCCTGCCAGTGCCTGAGTGTGGGGATCATCTACTGGAGTACGGGCAATCTACTGCAGAAAATGGTTCTTCTCCCCTAGCAACCATCAACCAATAGCTCCTCAGCTGAGGGTGGAGCCTCAGGAGCTCCTTTCCATCCAGGCTGCAATGGTGACTAGCTTGATCTTGCAGCCCAAGACTTTCCCAGAAATGTAATACCCTCAGAGAAATTGATGCTGTACCCATGAAATCATGTGTGTGTGTATACAAAAGAGGCAAGGATAGACCTCAGATGGAAAATGGCTGCTGGGATGCAAGATTACAGATTTGAATCATCAATGGATTGGACTATTGTAATACTCTCGGGAAAGGCAGCCCTGAACTGGAGCAAAAGGGAACTGGGAAGTTAACAAACAGCTCTAGAAGCAAAGCCAGCCATGCCAGAGCCAGAGCGGATGAGAGAATAAGGCCATTGTTCTCTGAAGCAGAAGGCTATCCTAATGTAGAACCCTTGCCAGTACTGGGGCAACAATAGCACTGGGTCCTGAGACTTTTTTATTATGTCATTTTATTGAGTGCATGTGTGTGGACACCTGTGTGTCATAGCATGCCTATGGCGGTCAGAGGACAACTTGTAGAGTCAGCTCTCTTACGCTGTGCAGACCCGAGGCTTGAACCCAGACTTGACAAGAGTGCTTGTGCCCGCTGCATCATCTCTCCAGTCTGAGAACCCAGGTGAGGTGAAAGGAAACCGATTGAGGAATGAGTGAATCAAAGGCAGCTGGATAAATCAGACAGAAGGCACGGGGATGTATGGGAGGGAACAGGGAGAGAGCAAGCCATATTTAAAACTTTTAAGAGGCTGGGTACTGGTGGGACACGCCTTTAATCCCACAATTTTGGAGGCCAAGGCAGGTAGCTCTCTGGGTTGTAGGCCAGCCTGGTCTACATAGTGACTTCCGGGTCATCTAGAAGCACACAGTGTGGCCCGTTCAAAAAAAAAAAAAAAAAAAAGCTAAGTAAAGAAAAGTTTGGTAATAGCCTCTTGGCCTCAGTGAAAGAGACTATTTTAGATGCTTTTAATATTTTTAAAATCATCAATGGGAATTTGCTGTTGGTTTTTTTCACGGGTGTCTCTGATCAAGTTAAAGAAGTTTCTGTCTTCAGTACTCCATAAAAGGTGAATTATAAATTGGATTTTATACTTATGAAGGTTTTTTTTTTTACCAGATCATTTGATATTTGTTTCTAAGAGAAAATGTCCAAGAGTTTTATCCTGAACTTTTTAATGTAGTCAACTATTTTTTAAATAAACCCTTCCCCTGGACTTTGGTTGTACTAAATTCTTCTTCACAAACTATCAGTGCAAGATGTGTTTAGAAAAACTCTCTTTACCGGGTGGTGGCGGCGCATGCTTTTGATCCCAGTACTCGGGAGGTAAAGATCTCTGTGAGTTCGAGGTCGGCCTGGTCTGCAGAGCCAGTTCCAGGACAGCCAGGGCTGCACAGAGAAATGCTGTCTCAAAAAATCAACCAAACAAGCAAAAACTTTCCTTTTGAAATAACAAAAGATGGTAGGCTTGGCCCCCTCCATTGCTGCTGTTTCCCTGTAACCACGCAAGCCCCTTGGCATGGGTCAGCTCTAAAGTCGCCCCTGTACTTTGGTTTTACACAAAGACTGTTCCATCCGGGTCAGTCATACTTCTCTTGTTGCTGGGATCAAATGCCTGACAAGAGTGATTTAAAGGAAGGGTTATCTTGGCTCACAGTTTGAGGGGATACATTCTACGATGATGGGTGATGCATGAAGGCAGAAGAGGAAGACTCCTGGTCACATTGCATCATCAAGGGAAGTGGGCAGGACTATAAACTATCCAACTGCATCCCTAGTGACTCACTTTGTCCAGTGGGACTCTACCTTCAGGAAGTCCCCACACTTCCCAAATAGCACTGCTGCGCAGGTACCGAGTGTTCAAATGAGCCTGTTGGGCACACTTCACCTCTGAACTACACCATCTTCTGGAATCCTCCAGAAGTAAGCTCAGGATCCAAACACGTGTCATTGGTGTGGCAGGTGCTGTCTCTTTGAATCCCACAGCGCCTCCATCTGGTCTTGAAAGCAGTGAGGAACACAGTGGATGGTGGGGTTCGCTGGCTTGTGATTATCTCTAGTGAGCCTGAGGGTTGTCACTCAGCACCCCTACACATGCACCTCCTCCTTGCTAGCATGTCTACACAGGATGCACAAGTCCCGGATATGCCATTTCTACAGCGTTCCCATGGCCACGAGGCTTGCCACATGTTTACATACAGATCTTAAGGACCAGTCTGTTTTTGTTTTTTAAAGTTGATAAAATAACTTATCAAACATAACTTAAAAAGTTGATAAAATAGTTGAGAAAATAACTTCTAACCCTATGTAAAATGGTATGGTCTATCTTATTTTAATAGAAACTAAGAAATCGCATCCAGATTAGCTCTCCCCAATGCCAGCTCCCACAAGCTGCGCACGGCGTGAGGCGTCATCCCTGGCAGGCCGTGGTGGGGCTCTGGAATTTTTTGGCAATATCTTAGAAAAAAACATGTTATCTTGTTTTTGTTCTAATTAGAATTGCCTTGACTATTAAATAGTTTCATACTTTTTATTTACCTACCTGGTTTATTTTCTGACTGGTCTTGTTTCTGTACTTGGGGGGCAGCATATCCCCCCTGCAATACTCTGAGCAGTTCCACTCCCAGAAAACCCGTGGCTTCCTCCCCACACCACCACCTCTTCCCTCCCCGAGGCTGCCTTGCTTGTGCTGTGAGGCTCAGCTCTGATACCTTCCCATTCACGCAGGAGTAACACTATCACCAGGGCAGAATCTCATCACCTCTCCCAGACCCCACTTAGTCTCTGTAATGTCGAACTTTAACCTGACTCAGTGGAGTCAAGCCACACTCGGACATCACCATAGGACATCACAGAAGTCCCTAGGCTGCCTGCAAAGAGTGGACACCTGAAAGCTCTCCCGGGCCTCTTGCCCCCACCTGAGGTACCGGTCTCCTGGCATTCGAATTGCTAGCTTAGGGTGGCTGAGCTGCTCTGGGAAGACTCCACACCGACATGCTTAGATGCCATCCAGGACCAGATGACCAGGGCTTGGCTAGAAGTCTTGCTTTTCTTGGATTGGTCACCTCTTTCCCATGTCACTCAGTCTGGCCACAGAAATGCTCTTTAGGCTTCTCTTGGGAACCTCTACTCAAAACAGACACCGCCCACACCTTCCTCCCTTCTGCCCCTGGGCCTCGGGAGCTGTCTAAGTACCTTTCCAAAATGTTTTGGTCCTGGGATTTTTCTTTTCTTTTTGTTGAGACAAGGTCTCATGTAACCCAGGCTGAAGCTGGATTTGCTATATACCTGGGAGGACTTTGGGCTTCTGGTCCACCTGTCTCCACCTCCTAAGTGCGGAGATCACAGTCTATACCACCTTGCCCAGTTTCTGTGGCTGAGGATCGAACCCAGGGCCTTGGGTGTGTTAGGCAACATTTCATCCATGGAGTCCCAGGCCCACCCAGTTCCAGCCCCTGAGATTTGGATTTTATAATAAAAAACAGATCTTATCCTGATTTCTTGAGTTAGCTAAACAAGATTTGAAAGGGCTCCTCTGGGGAACCATTCCCTCACATTAAGTCAGAATTCAAGCATTTGAATGTCACAACGCATGGGATAGCTGAGATGGCTCATGGAAATGTGATCATGTGATGAGGAACTCAGACAAGTTAGAACCTGCTGACACACATCTGTGAACAACAGTCATGAATACAAATTACTGGCCCACATGCTTTTCCTCCCCCACCTCCCCCCAAATCCCGACTCTTTCCTTACGCATAGGCTCGACCTTTCAGTATCTGGGCTATGATTCAGCAGAAGCCAGAATAAAAACCCTGTGGTAGCAGAACGGTTCTCAAATGGGTATTGTTTGCTTCATTATAAATACTGGTGAGCAGAGGTCAACAGTTTTACAGTTCTTTTTCTAAAAATTCAATAAATAAATATAGGGGCGAGAAGGCTCAGTGGTTAAGAGTGTGTACTGTTCTTCTAGAGGACTTGAGTTCTGATCTCAGCGCCCACATCAGGAGCTCACTTCTGATTCTAACTGCAGGTGTATCTGACGCCCCCTCTGGCCGCTGAGAGCAACTGAACACACACAAAGACATGTAATTAAAAATAAGGGGCTGGAAGATCAAAAACACTGATGACAATTTATGCTGGAGAGGTTGTGGGGAAAGGGAGCACTCCTGCCTTGCTGGTGGGAATGCAAGATGGTACAACCCCTTTGGATGTCAGTGTGGTGATTTCTCAAAAAATTAGGAAGCAACCTTCCTCAAGACCTAGTAATACCACTTTTGGGTATATATCCAAAGGATACTCAATCATGCCACAAAGACATGTGCTCAACTATGTTCATAGCAGCTTTGTTTGTCATAATCAGAACCGAACATGGAAACAACCTAAATGCCCCTTGACAGAAGAATGGATAAGGAAAATGTGGTACATTTACACAATGGAGTACTACACAGCAGAAAAAAATAACAACATATTGAATTTTGCAGGAAAATGGATGGAGCTAGAAAACATAATTTTGAGTGAGGTAACCCAGACACAGAAAGACAATTATCACATGTACT